AAATGGCCAAAAATGAAACAAAACTTTGACATTCTTTCTGGCACAGTAATGTCTGTGTGGAGCAGTGGTCACGGGATTGCCTTTGAACCGAGGATTCAGAAGTTGTTCCTTACATCAAGTAATCGATCGCGAATCCAATGTGTAAATCGGAGACTTTCCTTCGGATGAGACCGTACAAATCGAGCTCCCGTGTTGCAGAAGGTGCTGTCTCTAAAAAGATTCATCACTATACAAAGTTCGTTAGTGCTGAGTACAGCTCTTAATAAGCAATTTTCCATCGGCAACGGAAAAAAGGTCTCGAAGAGGCTTTAAACAAGCAAACATAATTTTTTGGTGCGGTAAACTATGAACAAATATCTTGTATGCATTCTCTGTTTAAATTAAGCTTCGAATACAACTGATCCTAGTAATGAAATGGCAACAAATGCACGCATTATCCATCTAAAGCTAATTTTTTTTAAAAATAGAAAAAGAAATTCGAAATTATTAACAAAACAGCATGTAACTTTGCCAATGATTCTATACATATAATGATTCTACAATTCCCAATGGTTGGCGTTTGAAAAGACCCAAAGATAAGACTAGTTTCTCTAGGGCTCTTGTGATCTACCAGTACATTCATAAAATTATATTTATTGACAAAATGTTTTGAACGACTGTTAACGTGACAGGTTTCATCTTACTTTACATATTTATTTGTGCCAATTTATGCATTGAAATTTATTATCACCTGTTGACAGTTGAAATGTGAGTCGAAGTGATTCTGTGACAGCTGTAAATAAAATAAATGAATTGACATACGTGTTATAAACAACAGAAGGCGGTGTTGATTTCCCACATCAGACTGAAAGAGAGAAAAAGATTTTTCTCTGTCAAACATACTCTTGATAGTTCTATCCTGTTCATACCTCTTACGAACAGAGAATGCACTTTTTTAACAATCATGAAATTTTCAACAACAAAACTCATATTTAGATTAATAAAATAAACCCATAAATTTCATTGCATATATTTTAATTTTTCCTTAAAGGTCTTAAAGTGAAACAAAAATGTTTGGATTTATAAGGATGATTGCAGAAAAGCAGTAATTAAGACATTCTACATATAGGGACTTTAAATTGCCCCTTTTCAGGAATTTTAGAAACTCAAGTCTTGCATCATTTACAACCGAAATAGGTTTAAAGATATATACCAATCCACACGCCCATATTTATCATCTGTCCTAAAATGATTAAAATGTTTTCAAGAAAACCAATGGCGGTGCGATTCTTCCCGACAAAAGTAATAAAAAATATACGACGTAATTTCGAATTGAAATTCCCCTCACATGAATTTTTTGGTCATATCATTGTTAAAAGTCAATGAGTTTCATTGTTGAAAACTAAAATTGTCTATTATCACGTAAAACTCTATTTTAGAATGACACATTATGAAACTGGATATAGTGAGAACAATTTTCCATTGTACATATATTTTATTTATGATACTTCATTATGAATCGATATTTGCGAAACTTCACAGTTAATACATTGCATTTGTACATTAAATAACTCATTTAGTTAACAGGAAGCTTATGTAAATGTAAATTTGTATAATCCCAAGAGATATTCTCATTCTCACTGAACATTAAGAATTAACATTACAAGACTGCTGTCTACAAATGTAATTATTCTGTCTACAAATATTAATTGATTATTTTTTTTTTTATTTTATTGATCCGTTTAAAAAACTAGGAGACAGCTGTTCCCGAGATCTTCTCTCTCAACTCCTCAGCAAAATATTAACTCCTGTAAATGAAAAACTCCAGGAATACTAGTACTATATAATATGTTTGGAATAAAATGTTATACCTGTACCAAAACTAGCTTTTCTTCGATCATTTTATCAAACCATTCCTTTCGATAAATTATAGACCAGTTTTTTTAAACATAAAAGACAACTGCTATTTCAATAAGAAATTATAATCGTAAATTTACATACCCTGTGATCGGTAATCTTCAAAAGAACTATTTTAATAGGATGCTGCAAGATTCTACAAGCAATTAATGAACTTTTATTACCTGCCTATGTCGTTTATGCTTCACAGTTAATTTCATACGCAAGAACTTGCTCTATATACGAGCAATTACGAATTAAAACGAGACAAGCTACTTACAAATAAATTGATAAAACACGAAAATCAACAGTCTCATTGAAAGTCATCATTTTTGATTATATGGCGGATACAATGAACTTATCAAGAAATCCAACTATCATTCGAATGATGACATGCTTTTATACAAATTGTTAGAGACTACTATTATACTAGGAAATTATCACAGGGAATTGACTACGCTTTTTCCCGTTAGCCCAGTCATCACAAGGTTCACAACTCTGGTAAGACCAGTCATGAAAAGATGCATAATTATTCATGGCACATAATGCCTACTTTGATGTATTTGGAACGGACGTCCGTGTTTGCTCTGCTCCAAAGTTGTATTGTTTCAAAAAAAATTTTGAGCATGGTAACTGTTTATTTTCTCCATGCTTCAATGGATATATCAGCTTTGATTTTATGAATAAGTTATATTTATTTTCATTTTTCCGTTGATTCTATGCGCCCCCTTTAACGGGAAATTTTACATCACAAATTCTATCATATTAGCATCATATTTGGATATATGTGTAAGAAACAATTAATGTCACTTTAATTTCAGATTAATAAGATGTCTTCAACTTCTTTCACCAACTTCCCTTAATAACGAAGCAATATCACTTGCACAAAGAGTTTTCTCCAAGTTGATTCGATAAACGAGCGTGTTCTACATATAAACAATTTCTTGAACAAGAAAAACTATTGACAGAAAAAAGTGATACTAAGATTTAAGTCTCGCGTAAAGTTATTATTTCACAAACTATATAAAGTAGTTAACATAATGACCTTGTTAGCAAACAAAACACATGACGTTTAATGACGTTTTTCATAGATTTGTTTGACCATTATTTTCATTATGTTACGTCTGTAGAACTTCTCCTTTTATTCGATTGTGACAAGGAACACAAGGACGCAGACAGGTATGTCGGTTTCACTCTGAGACAATCCAATCATTCGTGAAGACTCAAAAAGGATGGATGCTATTTTAACGTCTTTTACTCATAAAAGCAAAGGCTGATTCCAGTGTCGCTTTTAGAATATTTTTGCAATAAATTGAATGTTTTGAGTGGATATAAAAATGAAAATCGTGTAAAATGAATTATCCTTATCAGATTATTATAGAATGCACAAAAATTATTTACAATAGTTTTAATGTGACTAAAAGATCTCAATTTAATGAATTTAATCTTTTGAAACATTACATCGAAAATCCTATTCCTCAAAACTCACTTTTTTCATTTAAAAATATCAAGCTTTTATGAAGACCCTTCAATATTTTTTTCACATAAATTAACAAAAGAAAAATTGATGAATATTGTAGCTATCGCATAGAACATATATAGAATGTAGAATTTTTAAATGTTAAAAGAAAACAAGAAAATATAAACTTTTTCAGAATAAAAAACACAAAAAAGCTTATAGATGCACAATATTTTATTGATACTTGTCATGGAAATGTCATTAAAAACAGGAATAAACTAAATTAATTTAACGTGAATTCATTCCCTCAACATAAATAAAAGAAAAAGCTATTCATGAAATAACATATCTCAAACAGTGTGTCATAATAAATACAATGCATAGTTATGAACCAGTTATGCATTTGCGTGCAACACAGGCCTAATCACGGTTCACGAATTATCCAACATTTTTGTTAAATTCAATCAGACAATAAGTACAATTCCAAATCCATGCTTCGCTCCTATGTTAGATCTTAACTAGGCATCTTCAATGCACCATAGTGAGGAATGATATAACAATACATCATTGAATGCTTTGATTATTTAATATCGTTATAAATTTATAAAATATTTATTATGCATGATTTCAAGACAAATCTTTCTAAAAAATAAACCGGTTAAAATATGTACGGTTTACAGCTAGGTATAAAATTTTTATAGATCTTTAGCATGTATTTCACATGTGACAGTGACAGATATATCACATCTGTTCAAGCCTATGATCAACATGAATTTAATCATAAGTAAAGAAAATTATAAATAAATTGTCGAGGTAACAAACGGTTTAAATACTCAAAAGTTCATGCAACAATAAATAAAATACTCTGCTTAATCTTTGCAAGATAACTTGAATTATTTTTATATTACTCAAATTGGTACTTCTTTGTAAATGATCTTACTCAGGGGAAGAATAAAAACAACAATTACGTTTACGCCAAATGAACATGCTTTTTTAATAAAAATTTTTTTTTCTTTGTATTACATATTCTGCTGTATATGCATAAAAATACATATATATGACTGTCTTGTTTATGTTTTATTGAAAAAAGGTAAACATTTATGACGTATTTATTGGCTGCAAAAATGCAATCGCAACCTCTTGTATTTTAACATGCAACACATCTAAATGTTAGTTGAATACACCTATACTTTTTCTTATATAAATATGGTATTACGAGGTTTACTAATTATACATGAACTATAATTATAGTGAAAGATAATATAGGTGAAAATAACGAACAATGATCTATCTCAAAATATCTGTAAACAATACAAATATGTGAAGAGGCTGAAAACACGGACCCATTGAAATTTCAATGTGGGATCAGGTGCCCTGGGGGATAAATCATCCTATGTTGACCGGTAACGCCCGCCGTGAGTCCTAAAACTTGATTATTGGTACATTGCTTAGTCAAAAAAAGTTTCACTTTTAAATTGTTTGTACGTACTCAGATCAAGCTTTCCAGTAGCAAATAAGTTAGGGGACATCTACATCATAAGCTGGCGATAGTTCATTATTATTACATAAATAAGGAACGTTTACGATGTAAAATGCATCTTGTTTGTCAATCTAAAACAGTTGTTTGTCAAATAGTTTTCATGATAATAACATCTTATTTTTGGAAAGATGTTGACTTAAATGGGGCATGTAAATTCAGGAGTTAGTTTACATCTTGCATTGCAAATAATGCAAAGTCATAGCATCAATTCTTTCATAAAATTCCAGATGCATGCAAGTGATCTTTCCTTTGAAAAGCGATAAAATCTACACAATGCCAATTAAATAATGCCCAAACCATGAAGCAATGTTTTTGTGGTTACTTACGATCTACTGTGTTTCAAATGTGCGTGTGACATTATTCAAAAGGTGGAATATCAGGTTTCCGAGTATTATAAAATACGCATCATTCGAGCAAAGACATGTATTAAATAGCAACTTTAATCTGCACTACCCAAATGGCCGTGATAAAAATTTCTTAAGAAGTTTCCGAGAGTGAAGAAGACAGCTGGTATCATAGTTGAACTTACTACCAGTAGCCTCTTGTTTTTCAAGCAGTCAAGCAGCTTTTAATTTGCACTTATAGGATTCTCAATATTATTCTAGAGACTATATGATTTAAAAAAGAATCTATTTTTTCAAAATTCTTTTGTCTGATGATAAAACTTTTATAACTAACATGCACACATTTGGGGAAAAAGAAAGTACTAGATGTATGAGTGAACTATATTTTTGCCTGTTGCAGGTGACAGAACAATGAATTCCGAGATTCTCGTTACCTTTTAAAAGAAATGTGTACATGCCCAGGGGTATATATTTTCACAATTGTATTTTATATGGCTTTTTAGTTTAAGAATAATTTCTCCACGTGTAGATGGTTTACGCAGCAGGGTTAACTGCAGGTTGCTTTTAAAGAAAAAAATAAATATGCTATAATAGAGGCTATGATGTGTTCAAAGACAATGAGGTAGCAAAAGCAGTCTTACATCTTTTTATAAAAATAACCGCTGCATGATTATTAGACATGTATTTCGAAAAGCTTGAGAACCAGACGAAAGTTAATCAAAACGCCAGTACATCGGCTAGATAATGAAAAATCAAATATAATAAATATTGATGGAGTTTTTTGAGACCATGCCTGGAGCCAAAAACGTGCTCACTTTTACCAAAAGAAATAATATAGCGGAAAAGTGAGACTGATATCAGAAGAGATCTCGTCTAAGTTTTATGGCCCCCAGGCCAGTTTTTCAAAAATCTGCTGGAATTTCCTTGAGCACTAATTCTGCTCCTTTGAAGTCGATCTGTTTTCATATTTCTATGATGCAGAATTTATTGAAAGACTTCTATAAGAGAAAAAAGTTTGCAGATCCAATATTATGATGTAAAGACGGAAAGTTTTATCTGTAAATAATACTTTCATTAACAAATTTCATCCAAACATTTCAGTAAACATACCTTACAGTGCCTAGCAAGATATTGAAAATCTAAACTAAAAATCTTCTTACGTTAAGGGTTCTTGCACTTTCCTTCTTTCAACCACAGTTTCGTTGAATACATCATATCTTGTGATGTCAACATTGTTGAAATTCAGGACCTGAAAGCCACCTTCTTAAAAAGTCCTGAATACGAGGAGTTCCGATCTTCAACTGAAGACTGAACTTTATTTTTTAACATGAATTCTGTTAAAAACTATGCAAGGCGTTGAACAAAATATAAAAAGAAAGATCTGAATATTTTGTACGATTTGATTAAATAATTTAAAAATAAAAAGAAATCTTATTAGAAATTTTTAAGGCTATATGTGAACCAGCTATTCTTTATAATGATTTGGAGGCGATCAGGAATTAGAAAGACCACATACACAATATGTTACGGACATGCTGACACAGCTTGTAAGAACTTAAGTTTAACTCTAATCTCGAAAATTAAACTTACACTTGCAGTTCATTTTATAATGATGAAGGATATGGAGATAACGAACAGTATTCGATATCAAAGTCCATAAAACAATACAAAATAGGAGCGAGCAGAGCAAACACGGACCTCCAAAACATCAGAGGTGGGATCAGGTGCCATGGAGAGATGAGCATCCCCTGCCGACGGGTCACGTGTGCTCCTTGTCATGATCGGGAAATAACGGAAAAATCCGTCGTCAATCAATTATAAAAAATAATGGACTAACAATTAGTATGAAAAAGGTCAGTCAGCATTTGACTCAATGATAAATTGTATTTGCTGACAAGGTCATTGTATCGACCATAGAACTTACGAAATGATGACTTTAAACGAGACTACTGATATTCTTTCTTCATCTACTTGTTTGTCAATAATTTACGTTTTAGAAATTGTTCATACGCAGAGCATGCTCTTGTGTATAGAATCAGATGAGATATATAAACTCCAGATACAGGTGATGATGGTATATTGCTGCATAAATAAGGGAAATTGACGACAAAAAAAAGGTTAAAGTCATCACGTTTATCATAGACCTTGGCTGTTAGATTAACTTTAACGTCTTTTTCAAGTAGAATATCCAAGTATGAAACAGATGTGTCAGATTCTATGGTATCATTTATCTCAAGCTCACCAGGATTTATCGTTTTGACAAAGGAATGGAAATTACAATTGTTCATTGACAATGCGTCGTCGATATTTCTAAATGTTGAGTTGAAGGCCACAGTAAGTTTTTTTTCACGCATAAGATTTTGCACAAATTCTGCTTCATATGAATACAAAATTAGGTCTTCTAATAACGGAGCGCAATTGGTACCCATGGGAATTCCAATAGATTCTCAGATAAGAGTCTTCAAAATCAGAAATTTCCAAGAATCTGTGTTTCATGCCCTATTCGCAGATGTTTATTGTAAATAGATTTCTTAGGATAGATCACTGTTAGTCATCTTCTCCTCTTTCATTCATATATCGATTTGACATTTCCAAATGAACTCAAAATTTGAAAAAAAAAAGCATTCAGATGCATTTATATCTGTTTGATATTTGGATGGTTGATTGATAATAGACAATAATGAACAACTGATAAATAAACTGTATGACGAACGGGCTGACTTAGCAATTCCATTTTCAGCTTTCTGTAATATTCCTACTTCACCAAAATGTAGTGATTATGTCTTCCGACAGATTCGGTACGCAAGAGCATGCTCTTAGAAAGACCAATTTTATCACAGAAGCAAGCTTTTTAGAAATGAATTTTGTTAAAAAGATTAGACCAAGCTCGTTTAAGATTCAGCATTAAGAAAACTCTATGATCGTTATAATGATTTTTTTTTTGTAATTAAACCCTACCATTTGTCAAATTTAACTGACGTTTTGTATACCAATTGTTAGGCCTTTGTTGAATGCTGCATTTGACTTTGGAGAAATCCGACCACCTATCATTGTACCCATAATGAATGTAAGGGATGCTTACTCCGCCTTGGCACCTGATCCTACCGCAAGTGTTTTCCTTGATCCGTGTTTTGTCATGAATTTGATTCCCAATGTCTGTAATATATAAAAGACTAATCACGATTAGTTATCTTAACCTTTCAAGTTTGCAAATTAAATAAACAAGTTGCCAGCTTTTAATGTTTTCAGAATCCTAACAAGAATCCAAGAATAGAGATGGTCTACTGAGTTTAATATCTAGAAAGAATAACATTTTTTTGAAAAGTAGTGCGGTTTTCTTAAAATTTGCAACATTAAACTGCAGAGTTATAGCTGTCTAACAAGCTACAACTCCTAACTATAAAAAAAACATTCAACCGTTTCTATTAAATGAGGTGCCTTCTCAATCCAAGGCCAGCATTTTCACCTGTATATGTAATATAATAGTGGGCGTGTTTAATATTTTTATAAAGAATATCATGAACAATTATCAGCATGGCTAACACTTACAAGCTTAGAAAACAAATACGAGACATACCGGGTAAGTTTACATTATGAATTTTATGAGTATACCGAACTATTTATCAGCTTGGAAACTAAGTCTCACTTGGTGTGACTGTTTCATCTGGTGTTTCCTTCCTGTGTACTCTTAACGTCTTTGTCCTCTATGAAAAACAACTTATCTGAAAAACAGTCTTGTGATGATTAAGGATTTGGCCACTTGGTATATAATGAGTGTGTTCCTTGTTTTTATGGAATTTGGAATAATCATTTTGAGAAAACTTTGTTTTCGTTCTGAATGAAAGATTATTTATTTTATAAATTGCAATGTACATGTATGATCTGGTTTATAAAAACTGGGGAAAATTGAACAATTTCTCTAATCTTATCAGTGATGTTATATATCATTTAATTAAAAATACATGCATTTTTTAATTGTTTAAAGAGGACATATTCTCTTCAATTGTGTGCACAAAGATTCTCTGCAATTCCCTGCAAGTAGGAACAAGCGGTCAGCTATATGAAATAAAATGTTTTAGATTATGCAAATGTTTTGTCCATTTTTAGTACAAAATTTCAACAAAAAAATTGGAACGAGTTTTCAAAAAATACTCTAAACAGGAAGCGTTTGACAACAATAAGGAAATAAAACCAAGACTGCCTACGTGTTGTGTAAATGAGGTTATGGCGCAGCGAGAAGAGCAAGGGTCGCCGCCATTTTGAAGTGTTACACAACAAGAGGTAAGAAAGTTAAGTTTTAAATATCAACTAACCAAGGTATAAGGTTCTGAAAAGTAAAGCAAAGGCCATGTTTAACTTTTAAAAATTGGGCTTCCTTGATATTAGCTTTTGTTCCCTGCCCATTTGTATGATGGTCAGTGTATGAATCTAATAACGACTCCAGTGAGCTTAATGAAATCATTGAAAAAAGGTCTTACGTCTGAAAAACCGTAAATATTTTTTATAATGATATCAATTTCCCTGAACTTTAAACAAAACGATTTTACCAGGACTTAATTATTTTTTTGTATTTATATAAGTACATATTTCGAAACTGAAAGTTGAAATACGTATACAAATAATCTGACACAAGTTCATTAACCTTTCTTAAGAATTAGGAATTCTCCTAAAAAATAATTCATTGATACTTGCTACATAAGTATAAAAACTGACCTGTTGAGTATACATATTGGTTCCCACATCCTTCAACAAACCTTCTATAGCAAGCTCTTCCTTTAACTGCTCGAAAACGAAAGTAGGTTTTTTTTTTACTGATTACGAATGAGGGCATTACAAAGGCATTTAAACAAACATTATAATCGCGTGACCGCCTTTTTGTTATTAACTCAGCGTTCTATGTTCCGGATAAGTAGGTATGCATTTCATTTGAGAAATATAGTCTGTTCCCAAATTATAAATAATTATGAAGACATATATTGTCTTATCTTGTAGTAAACATATGATCACGTAGAATGTGTGTCGACATTCCGTTGAATCATGCTGTACAGATAAAATCAGATTGAACCTGTGCCAAAGCTGGCGTTTTTAAAGGTTCATACAAAGCACGTTTTCTGTCTGCATTATTATGTACAAAACATCTATATTTAGTCGCTTATCTACTGAACTCCCCGGTTACCGTTCTCCACCACCTAGAGTTAAACGGCCATTCTCTTCAGTAATATGTAAGTACCTGTATGAATAATGAAAAATAAGACATATTTCCGTAATTTATGTATATTCTCTCTATAATTTTTATAATAAGTTTCCCAAGAATTGTCTTGAATTTTAGTCACATATTCATTCATTTTGTAATTTAACTTGAGTGTTTCGCAAGCGTAGAAACGTTTCGTTTATAACCATTCAGAAAGAGGTTAGTAAGTTAATAGTGAGGGATTGGTTTTATCTGGGCTAGTTATGATTGAATCGGACCTTATCACACCTTTAACATTGCCACTTACAACTTACAGAATGAAACCTAGCCAACAAAACAGATTTGGAATACCCCTCACTGAACCCTTGCCTCATCATCACAATATGACCTTGATCAGTGTCCTTGAATAGAAAGCTTGTAATTAAAAAATATACACTTTAATAAACGGTTTTGCAGTATCACATCTTCAAGCAATTGAGTAGTTTTTACTCTTTTAGACGACTCTGACCTATATACATTTACAAAAGAAGACATTGAATCACATCATATTAAACCGTTAGCTCTTTTTAAGTCATGTCGACTTTTTAAAATTCATCCAAGCTAAGGGGTAAGGGTAGTTTATTACAGAAAAATTTTGTGACCTTCAGAAAAGATTGTGATCAAAAGCATAAATGAAGTCTGAATCCATCTTTAAACAAAGTCTTAAATTTAGCCACAACTTCAAAATATCTTGTTGCCCAGCAATCGCACAATATTAGAGAGATTTGTACTTGTGTTAAGATTAATACATATCACAAGCCTTTCTTCTTTTCCTGTATAATGTTTGGAATAAGTTATACTTCGTATTAAAAAAAAAAAAGGTCTGCTGAATCGGCTCATTTGCTACCCATTGGAAATCCGACAGATTGATGAAATATCTAAGCTTCTAAAGCTACACAGAGATTGTCAATCAGAAACTTAAGATCTTTTTAAAATGAATTCAGGGTACTTGAATATTAAATCAATTTTTTATCACAATTTTTTTTTTTTTTGCAAATGACCAGAGACAAAAAATCTGATGTTTATGATGTCAAAAATCTTTGACTTTAATTTGTCATGAGGAATGGTTGTTTAAATTGAAAAATTGAACGGTTTGATTTTATGAATTTTTGTAAAATTTTGTGATTTCAAATTTTTAAAATGTTCCTTGGAAGTATCCACATATGATTTACAAAAACTTTACTCAATATTCCTGAAGCTTCTCCTTCACAACTGTCAATATTAAGTGAGTTGTGAAAAAAGTCTGGATAGAAGATTTAATATTACATTAAAATGAAAGATAATGTTAGAATAACAAATCTTTTGTTTCAAAAGATTTGTTATAGAGATATCTAACAGTTATCAAGTTAAAATGTCCACAACGGGAGCAAAGCAAACAGGGACCTCTCTAAACATCACATATGCGATTAGATCCATCGAGGAGTAATCAACCGGTCACATTCGCCGCTTGTCATGATCGGAAAACGGAACAATCCATAGACAATTATATGTGTAAATAATAGCCTTACACTAAGAATGTAAGAAGAACGCCAGTCACCATTTGGCTTATAAAGAAGATAGATTGTATTTGCTGAAACGGTCGTTGTATTGACCATAAAAATCTCGAATGATGACTTTGAAGGAGATTGTTGATATTCTTGTTTTGTCAACTTGTTTGTCAATAGCTGATTTTGACAATCTTGCTTCATTTAAGGAATTGTTCGTGCACAGAGCATGCTTTGCGTTCGACTCATCTGAAAGACATAAACCCTATATACTAGTGATAGGGGTATATTACTGCAAATAAATATGGGAAGTTAACAATAGAAAAGTTGAAGCCATCACGTTTACCATAAAGTGTTGGACTTCGGTTACCAAAATCGCCTTTCCTGGTAAAATTGTAATATGCAAATATGAAATAGATGTGTCAGACTCTGTGGTATCTTTTATTGGGATATATCGAGTTGACATAATACTAAAAGTAACGAATGTTATTTGAAAATACGTCGTCGTTATATCTAAATGTCGAGTAAAGAGACCCAGCACGTATTTTGTCTTCCTCTCATGTTCAAGTTTAAAAAAATCAATTTGCTTTAAATACAATTGATTCCCATAGAAAAGATTGTTGAAGGATCTATTTGCTTAAACAACATAGATAATGTTAATTAAAAACTCAAGTGTGTTTTGATATTAACTTCAGAGTGCTTGTGTGAACAATCAGAATGTTTTTAACAAAATTGTTTTTAAATGATCAATGACAAGAAAAGTAAAAATTTAGGTGTTCCATTGTTTTTGAATATGCAGTCAAACGTATTGATTTTAATCGCGAGAAATGAATGTATGGAGTGTTGAAAAGACAAACATACATTTTTGTGTTCTTTGGCCTTCTACTGCCTTTTTTGCAAAATTGAAACTGTTAAGTATCTACATGTATATCTGAAGTCAAAATCTCTTTAAATTAAACGTTAAAATAAGGCATGTTTCATTTATTTCTTAACACTACTTTGTTGTGATTTTTTTTTTTTTGGGACTCAACGAATATCGTTGGTTCTTCGTTGAATCATGTTTACAACACTGCTTAGAAAACAATGTAACTTTGACGTTTTTGTCTTCTTAAAACATGAGTGCCTAACTCCATTGAAGCTAGCAAATTTTCCATTATGTTGTAATTTATAACCTGAATATGGTGATTATGTTATTATTCGGTATGCAAAAGTATATGCGTTGAGTGCAATCAATTTTTAAAAGCGAGACAGGCTACTTCTAATTAAGTTGATGTTACAGGAATTTCAACGACTTATTTGAAGTGAGAACAAATTGCTACGGAGCGCTGGCTTTAATTTCGTACTTATAACAAAAAAGCATTTTATTGTTTAAACAAACACACGAAACAAATTTCTACGGTCAATATAATGAACTTTTTTGCAAATGCACCCTATCATTTGGTCTTGTTTTGACAAACATGTTTTAGAACAAGAGTTAGACCACTCTTTTTATTCACTAAAGATTACTTGGACCATCTAGTCGATACATAGGGTTCTTCGCAGATTTGGCCGGTCAACAGGGGATGGTTCTAACCTCTTTGGTTTTTAGGGCCCATGTTTTATGCTGTGTTAACTAATTTGTACTCTTTCAACATATTTTGAGATTTATCACTGTCCATTGTATTCATTTTTCCATGCAGATATATTAAAAATGATTTCATATCATTTAATAAATAAATTATTAATTTAGCAGTTAAATGTTTCAATTAAATAAGTTAAGTAATAAAGTCATCCTTTCAAATAAGTTTTTAGTTAGAAATTATTAGATTCTTAATTGTGAAAGAAATATTTTAAAATGTTCTGATAAATATTCTACATAAAGTCCGATCCCCTTCCTCATTTCATACGAAATTATAATATTCCTGTAATATTATCGCGAAAGTTAAAAAAACTATGAATGTTCAGGCCGCTGCACTACACTGGGGGACGTTTATCTTTGAGATTGCCATTCTCCTTATATGTACCTCGGAAATCCCCTTCACCAAAAATAGAGATAAAGAAGGAAAAGGCCGGGGATTTCCATTTAAATAAATAATTGTATGATAAAGGCATATTTTTAAGGATGTTGATTTGCTTTATCAAAATGATTCCAAGAAATGAAGAAAACAAGAGTTTTTAACATTAAACAAACTCCCAAAGCTAAGGTAAGTTCATACGAAACCTCTTTTGCTTTTTGTCGAGTATAATCTATTTTTCCTGTTTTTGAAATGGAATACTTGCACACTTTTAAGAACTACGACGGAAATAATTAAATAATTAGTACAATATTATTTGGGTTAAGTATTTATGGAAGTGTTAAATTCATTTCCTGTTGAATCTTCTGCAAAGACTCATAGAAATTTCAATTGGTGTCATTTAACAAAAAAATTTCCTCAACATTGTATTATCATTTCCTTTCAATATTTTTTCCACAATGCCCTACATGTGAAAAGCCTCTCTCTTTTGTTCCGTATCTTTTTTCCAAGTCGAAGAGAGATTTGGCAGAAGCATAGTAAAAGACATCTAATGACCAAGTTCTATAGTCTCAAATTAGTTCTAGGATTTGATACCTGTAAATTCATTCTTGCTAACGTACAACATAGGTTTATATGAATGATTCAAATGTTAAAGATTCCCCAAAATCTTTTCTTTAAAAAATTTTACAATAATTACAGGGAAAAAATGAAGAAAAACAAACATGAAGAAAACAGTTTTTGGTTATATTTGAATAAGCAAATAATAACTTTATGTTTTAAGATTTTACTTGAAAAAAAATAATCAACAATATGCATATTTGTCAATTTTTGAACATCTTTCATTTTAGTTGACAAAAATATATGTCATTTGATTGGTCATTTGCAATATTATTTTCTTAAAAAACATTATGATTGTACACACAAGTACTCTGAAGTTGACACCAAAATGATGCTTGAGTTTCTGATTGACAATATCTACGTTGTTTTTGGAGACCAAGTCTTCCAACAATCTATTGGAATTCCTATTGGTACCAGTTGCGCCCCATTTTAAGCAGATCTATTTTTATATTCATATGAAGTAGAATTTGGCCAAAATCGTATGCGTGAAAAGAAGAAAAACACTTCCTGTAGCCTTCAACTCGACATTTGAATATATCGACAACGTATTGTCAATTATCAATGATAATTGCCATTCTAATGTCGATACGACAAGTTCTGGTGAGCTTGAGATAATAGATACCAAAGAGTCTGACACATCTTTTTCATATTTGGATATTTTACTTGAAAAAGACGTTAATGGTAATCTAACAACCATTCTCTATGATAAACGGATGACTTTAACTTTTCTATAGTCAACATTCCTTACTTCTGCAGCAATATACCTTCATCACCTGCATACGGAGTTTATATATCTCAGTTGATTCGATACGCAAGAACATGCTCTGCGTATGAACAATTTCTAAACTGAGGTTAAGAATCTATTAACAAACAAGTTGATGAATCAAGAATTTCAGCGGTCTCGTTTTATGTCATCATTTCGTAAGTTATATAGTCGTTACAATGACCTTGTCAACAAATACAATTTATCATTGAGTCAAATGCTGACTGACGTTTTCCATGCTACTTGTTAGTCCATTATTTACACACTGAATTGACGACGGATATTTCCGTTATTTCCCGATCATGATAAGGAACATACGGCGGGTATGACCGGTCGGTAGGGGATGCTCACTTCTCCATGGCACCTGATCCCACCAATGATGTTTTGGAGGTCATCTTGAATACTGTTCGTTATCTCCATATGATTTATTGAAGGACCGCGTCCGTTTCTTCGTCACACAACCCAAATTATGAATATAATAGTCCCTTTGCAAAGGAGAAGAAAAAAGAAAATAACTAGGAATTGTTCAGAACATTAAAACGTGTTTAATGGGACTTAGATAACTGTAACGATCCATAGACAATTAACTTATTTCTTTTTTTTCAAATTTAAAAAACACTCGGTGAAACTGAGACAAGTTTCCACTTGATAATTTTGTTTTGCTTTGACGGACAATACTGCGATTAGATTTACACTGAATACCTTGATACTCATTTTATTTCGCCCTTTTTTATGTGTATAATGGCATGAATTACGTCGTTTTTTAAACTGGTTTTTGACTGCATTGAATTCTGTTCCTCATGCGAGAAAAGTATGTATTGTATAACACTGGTATTCTATTTTCTGACGCTTGGTTTGTCTTTGTTGAAAGGTCATCTTATACTGAATCAACTTATACATTCTGCGTTTTAGGACAAGGGTTTAAGCGACGTTTCTGTTTTTTTAAAGTCTAGTGCTTGTCTTCACTTTGGCCTCATTTTAGATGCATGTAAGTAAAAAAAGCCTTTAGTATATATTTCTTTAAATCATGAAAAACCTATAGTTCTTATTCGCAAATACATCGGTAGTAGGTATTTTAGTTACATGCATAAGTAAGCCCTAGTGATTTACCGACATTTCATTTTATCAGCTTTAAAGAAAATTAATATATAAGATGATTGATAGATTCATGCAAAAAAATCAAACAAATTTATTTCTGTTTCCTGTTTGTCTATATTTATATTTGTTGGACTACCTACAATGTACATGTAAAGGCTATCAAATATACATATTTTTGAAGTCTAATTACTATTAATATCATCTTGTATCGTGATGTCATTTTCTTAAAGTTGGCGTCATTTTAACTGATGACGTCAGTAAACACTCTACAGATGATATAGACACACAAAATGTCAGACACAACGGTAAGTTTAGTTGTTGATTTAATTTTTGTTGTGAAATAAGAACAGAAACTTAAAATGGTCGATAACAATACAAATTATGGTCAGACCTTGGGTAAGAGTAATATGTTATGGTAATGCATTATAATCATTACATTTTTTCAAAGTAATGGAATGTAATGTCTATTGGACCCTAATCACAAGTAATGGTAGTGTAATGAACTACTTTTTAAAAAATGTCAATCATAACCATTACTTTTTAATTATATTTTATTTACATTTTGTTTATTAATCTCCATGTGTTCGAATATTGAATCTATTAATGAAAAAAATTTTTATTTAATCTAATAATGGGGTCTAACAAAACTACTACATTACAACTGTGTTTTACCCACTTTTATGATCAACTATGGAGAGTTATTAACATTTACATGAACTTTGTCCAAAAAGGGATTTTAACTACCATCTACCAAGTAATGGTAATAATTTATTCAATTTCTTTTCTATATTACAGTAATGGTAATGGTAAAAATTCCAAATTATTATAGGATTAAACGTTCTTTTTGAAAAATTTATCGATGTGTAAACTCTTGACATTTTACTCACAAACTAAATAAAAGTGCGAAGCACTTTTATGTTAAGTTTGTGAGTAAAATGTCATTTACACATCGATAAATTTTTCAAAAAGAACGTTTAATTCTTATAATTCCAATATCGAATTTTTAAAAATATTTAAATTATTTCTCTTTGAGGCCTCCATACAATCTGTTATTTCTGGACGGCGTAGGAATACATTTTACCGTAAAGGAACGTAATCGAGATGAATTTCGATAGAGTTCAACTTAAATTGTCAAAACAATCGATAAATAAACTTATAACAACTAATCGAATGTTGTTTAAGTCAACAAATATCGTAATTACGAGTTTACTTCAGAATAGTTCGTCTTTGACCATGACCATGTTGACATAAACAACAACTCTCATAGCGAAAGTTGCAGACCGACGACGCCTTCAATTTGCACTTGTTTATTCAAATATTGAGGAACAATATAGAAAGTAAATATGAATTTGATGCTAATAGGGCAAGAGTTTGAGGTACGTTTCTTTTTTCCCTGTCAAAACGATACAGACTGAGCTTATTTTCTACGTATGAACGTTGAGACAGCGATTTTTAAAATTCACACTCGTGATCGGACAGTGACATAAACATTTTCACGGCGTCCATCAGTTAGGCAGTCTAGTTGCCAGTTTTGTTTAAGCCCTAATTAAATTTAAAGTTTCTTGTATTCATTATTTAGCCAGAACAGACCCAGAAATAACTGCTTTCATTGTTTATACGATAACCTGGTAGTGTCATCAAGAAAGTAGTTCTGATTGAAAGAATTTATCGATGTGTAAAAATTTTCTGGAACGTGTTCTCGTCCAATCAAAACACAGGAAATCAATAGATAAAATGAAGATTGGAATTATTTGCTAGTTAATGCATTAAATTACATTTCAAAGTAATTGATGCAAGGTCTGATTATAATCTGTTAGGGTTTGTGAGAAAGTAAAATCTTGGCCCCAGGGTTGGAATTTCACAATCTAACAGAAAAAAAATAAAATTAAATATGATATGTAAGTTGTTTTACGGTTTGACCGTTAGGGCGTGCGGAAATTCACACACTTTGGTTAATCCTACACTTACAACTTTGATCCGACTCGTACTGCACTGTAACGTCACATGACGTAGTATCATAGGTCCCTGATAGTATGTAAGGCCATCTTTAAAAACTGTTTGGTTGCCCTCTCCCGACCAACTGACTAAAAATGGCCCGACTCAAAACTTTTTTTTATATTCCAGGACAAGATATTTTTTTCTTTTCCCCTCCTCCTCGTCAACATATACATTGAAATTTTCAAAAAAATACCCCCAAAAAAGAGTTAAGGTGGAAAATGACCGAAAATGAATATAGAAAATGTCTCCATACTCCGATTGGGAACAATAAGCTTACCAAGATCTGAGTAATGCAACTACATGTATCTTCTCAGTCTCAAATTAACTACACTACACTGCACTACAATGACTCAGGGCGAGTCAATGGACTCTTTAAATTTCAATTGACCTTTGAGATGAAGAGATAGCCTAAGCATTTCATACGACGATTAAATAAAATTTGACACAATTTGTGAAAATGTTTGCTTATTGATTGTTTGTCAATAAACGTTTAAGAAAAAAGATACTAACTTGACACAAAAGGGGACTTAATTATACATGTATAGAAATATTGTAAACAAAATAAATTCTAGATTTAATCTATGGTCTTGTGATATTTATTGTCTCTCGGTCAGTTATCGTATAATCTAGGTTGTTGTGTGCTTGATGGACATCGCGTTGTCATTTTAGAAAAGTGTTAGTAATATTGCAGTCTGTCAAGTGTTCATAACAAATGCTACTGGCTAGTGATGTCATAAAAGGCGTGAAAGAGGTAGGCATACGATCAAATTAATTAAACAAGAAGAAATCTTAATGTTTATGGAATATTCGTATTTTGATTCATGTAAAAGTTTACTATTTTAAATTTTGTACGTAATTTTGCTGCATATATATGTGTACATATTATGGTGTCCGCAACGGGCCTTTGAAAAGGCTGAAATCTCGATCAGAAAAAGAAGCACACATCACGCCATCACGCTTACACACAATTCGCCGTCGCGCTATCACAGTAGTGAACAAAACATGCTGTCACGCTTTCAAGGTTTCGTGTTGTTTGTTAGCGCGACGGCGTGTTGCTTGAAAGCGTGTGATCGCGACGGCGTGTTCCTTGAAAGCGTGTGATCGCGATGGCGTGTTGTGTTAGCGTGACAGCGTGTTGTTTGAAAACGTGTTTATTTTTACAAGCGTGATGGCGTGTTGTGTGTTAGCACCACAGTGTGTTGTTTGAAAGCGTGTTAGCCTGATTGTGTTTTGTGTGTTAGCGCGACAACATGTTTGAAAGCGTGATGGCGTGTCGTGTGTTAGCGCGATGGCATGTTTTTCTGATCGCGTTGTTCAGCTTTAGCAAGTGGTCCTATCCGGACACCATAATGTATAGAATGGTTGACCGAATATCCTGTTTACGTGAACTGCATTGTTATCTGTAATGAAATGCATTTCTCAAATGCGGATCAAATTAATCTACAAATCTTACAAGTTCAAGGAATATTATCAGATCATGATTTTTTAAATGTTTTATTCCAACTACCCACCATACCCCTCCATTAGCAAGGTCTGTTCGATTTACTTTTTACCAAGTCATGCAAGACTTTCATTTGAAAAAAATATCGGAGATCTGGTGTTTATTCCTTTTGTAACCTCGATGCCAATTCTGTTAATAGATACGAAATATTTTTAACCCTAGTATTTTTGTTTCGCAGTAAACACTGAGTGATTTTGAAAGCGGGTAATGATATTCTTGTGCACACTTTATTTATATAAGCCAGCATCGTCATATTTCTTCAGACAAATTTGAATTTAGTCCTAAAAATGTTTCGAAGACAACAATGAACAAGGTTAATTTATTCGTCATCGGACATTTAAATTTTACTATCATTTAAAATTTTTCTGTTTCAAGGTTTAATTTCTTAACTTGAGTCAGAATTATCATGAGTTCTGTCAAGTATCTATTTACTGTGACAAAAGATTTTTTGTGTGTGATGTTTCTGATAAGCAATGTAATTATAATATACTTTAAATGCACACATCGTGTTACTAGTACTAAGGAGAAGAAAATTGCACGAGGAATATGCACGTTTCCACTGTGTGTACAGCAATTTGAGATAAGATAGTGGGATCAAAGGTTGTCATCCCATACTGTCCTCAGTGTCATTGTACGACTTATAATTTTATCGCCTCAAATCATATTTTCTACTTTTTAAAGAAAATTCTAACATTGTTTTGTGACAAAGCAACTCATAGTAGCACGCTATGTTACTAGATATACAGATCTAATCAGCTCAGACAGGGGGCATCAGTGAGCTTGGTTTTTAATCAAGTGTCAGACTTCTGCATGTTTAGCGGCTCTATTGATTGTAAGCCGGAGAGTTGTCACATGACCGCTAGCTTCCTTCCTCTCCCCCTAAGTCGCTAATTTTCTTGTGTTTGTTTACATCTTAGTCATTCTGCTTGAGACTGTATTTATGAATAGAAGAGATTTATTGCACTGGATATCACACATTTTCTATCTCAATGGAGGCGTTCATGACAACTAAGGTAGTACGTTATAAATGAAATGACTTGGGTTTAATGATCAATATTCTGTAGTCATTATCAATTCTCTACCCAACGTGTCGAAGCATCATTGGTTTTTTCATGTAAAGATTTGCAGTATAAACTAACATCCCGATACCTTCGTGTATAAGCACCGCACGCTATCCAGTGAGCACCGTTATATCATACACTGAGATGTTATTCAGTTTTAGTGTCAAGAAAAGTAAGGTAGGCATAGTATTTTCTTTACAAGATAAGAGGTCAATGTACAGCGACCGTCTTAGTGAATTTCGGATCATGTAGTTATGCCTTAGTTATAATACTGAATTGTTTTTATTGATTTCATCGTTAAAGAATCTCTCTCTCTCTCTCTCTCTCTCTCTCAGACAGAAAAAATACAAGAAGAAAATGCTTGTAATTAACTATATTTCCGTTACAAAAATTCTCTCTTTTTTAACTACATGTTAAACATATCTTTCCGGCTACAAAGTTCATTTCCTGAGGATTAAATCAGCGATCTTATGTCATAAATTTTCTCGTGACTATTAAATATACTAAGATCATATATCCGTTTGCTTATACTTTTGATGAAATGATATTATGTAAATGTCTAAAATTCATTTACATGATAAATATTTTCATTAATATTTCAGAGGTATCTAAGTGAAAAGTTACCTGGAAATATATAACATATTGTATCACTACCATGAGTACTAAACTTCACAATGCAAGTTTTATCTACACAATACCAACTAGAGGTACTATATGAGCACTGAGCTAACTTAATGACACCCCCCCCCCCCCCGATTATGATTATAATGGCAAAGTCCATGTTTTGCTCTGGGAGACCCAAAATAAGTGTCAGATCAAAAAGTTAAATATGCCATTAGTTATCCTTCAGTATTATGGAAAGAATGGAAGTGTTTATGTTTTGCTATGGGAAAACCCAAAATATGCGTCCGAACAAAAAGTAAAAAAGGAAGTGCACTATGGCACTTTGACTATGGCACTTTGTAACAAAGATTCTGTGAAAGTCTCATAAAATTTCATTTACTGGTTGCGGATAAAAGATGGGTTACCCAAAGCGTAACAGACGGACATACGGACGGATAAAAAAAGTTATTTACAATGAATTTTGATTTTTGATGTCTTTCCAGGGCCCAAATGAGTACTGGTGGTTCGACAAAAACTCCAACACACACAAGGAAAAGTTGTTCACAGATGGCCACGACAGTGCCTCTTCACCCGCTCCTGTAAGCTGTCGACATCCATTCTACTACAATATCAATAAAAGTCAAGGTCTCGAAAAGCGAATTTATTGGGTTGAGTCTACACATATTCTACCACCCGTCCAGAACACCAAATCTTCGATTAAAATTAAATTTAGGTCGTGTGGGAATGGTCAGTATACAATGGAGCAAAAGAAACGAGGACGGAAGGCAGGGTGTAGAAGCAAACGACGTGAAAATGTGAGCTTGAAGACAAATCTTGATGTTTTTGATCCATTCATTGACAAATTTTCTCTCATTAAAGCAAGAAGGCATAAATTTGAACAGAATCACGAAAGACAAAAGATGTTTACGCCAAAAAAGCCATTTAAAGAGAAGGAAAAATCACCACCTTCAGATGTTGCGAAAAGTGAAGTTGATATAAATGACTTACATGTAAAATGCGAATCAAAAGATGTTAGTAAGGTGTCGAAATCTGAGCATGTAACAATAGATTTAAAACGTGTAGGTTTTAATTTCATTGATGGGAAGGTTGATGATAAATTGTTATACAACAGTATTTCACATTACTTTAAGAAAAGACCGAACATCTCTCTCAGGCGAATTGATCGAAAAGATCTTTCAACTCTTCGTAAAGTTGGCTTCATTAAAACAGAAATATGTGATCCCACAAATAAAGAAAACAACCCTGAAAAGACAGAGGATTTCAAAGAAGACATTTTGGCGAAAAAAAGTGTGATCATTACACCTGAACATCTAAACAAGATTAAGTCTAAGTTAAAAGCAGTTTCTTACGAAAAAACAAAAACAAAACCACCGTCCACAGTGAAAGAATGTAAAGGTGATCACATGTTGAGCAGAATAGGCTCGTGTGGAGACGAAGCACCAAATATTGTAGAAGAGAATCAGAAAACAGTAGTCTCAGAATATTTAGAAAACCATCAACCTCCTGTTCTGATTCCAGAAAGAAATTCTTTTGAAGATGATATTGATAGCGATGACAAAGACTCACCATTTGTTTATTTAGAAACCAAACCAGACGTAGAAGAACTGAACAGAATGATTCAAAGTTTGGAATCTTCTAAAAGGTCTGTAAATGGCCAAATTTTGGATAGACAACTAAGTGCCATGGTAGAAAAAGACGCGGAAGGGAGCAATTGTCGTCAGTTGGAAGTTTTTGTTTGTAAACATTCAAGAGAGAAAGGTATTTCAATTTTAAATGACCGTAAAGAGAAAGTCGATTTCACACTTGAAAGAGAGGGAGACAGTGAGATTACCTCTGAGAAAGATAGTCACGATACTCAATCTAGTAATCAGTCGATTCCTTCGAAGAAAAAGAAGCCACAAGCAAAACTTACTCCAAAAGTTGTAGTGCCGAAATCTGATTCAAATCTTACCCATTCATTATTTCATAGTAGTATCTCATCTACAGAAACAAATATTGATCATTCAGATTTTCATTCCATTACTGACTCAAATTCTTCCTCAAACATACTAGGTAATGACAAAAGTAGCACTCCCCCCAATGTCAATTTGAAATCAAATTCCACTGCAAAAGATCCTGAAAGAGTTCAGACTAGCATGGATTTGGAAAGTGGGAGTGTTGAGCATTTAGACTGCAGTAATGAAGATATTTTCCTGGAAGATGTAGCAAAAGAAAAGGATACAAGCTACAATGTTAGGGATTTGCAAACCGTCCAATCTAAAATTAACAAAAAATTTCAGTCTCCACATTCTATCCCTTCACTTCCAAATGTAAACTCCATATTACCAAAGGAACCATGTGAGGCTGCCTGTGGGTATGACAGCGATGAAACTTTAGTTTACGATGATGATGAGGAGGAGGGTTTATCTGAAAAGTTGGCGAGAAAAAAACATCGGATGTTTTCTAGGTCTAGTTTAGCTTTTTCTAACTGCAAAGTTGTCGATTCAATAAAAGACAGCAATTTAACTGATTCTGAAAACTGTAGATTCTGAAAAAATCAATTGTTTAAAGAAAGCTGCTAATAAGAAAATTAACGAACACGATTCTCATAAAACGAATGTCAAATCTTTGAAAACTAAGAAAGGGATTTCCGACCGAGAAGATAGTAATGGTAAGAAAATTAAAATCAAATTTCCTCCAAAGAGAAAACAAAAGGCAACAAAGAATGACACTGAGAGCCAAGACTTGCTCTTAACAATATCCCCACACAAAAGGCAAGTGGGCAAGAGGGGGCATAAACAAGCAGGAAAGATGTCTAGCAGTTGTATGAAATTACTAGATATTTTCAACTTTGAAGACAGCAGCGAAAAACAGACAATGAAATCCAAGAAACTTCTGTCACCAAAATATGATGACAAAGTTTCAAGGAATAGAAGATCAAAAAACAGTAAAGCTCAAATAAAGAAGAAAAGAGCTTTTCAATCAAAGACCAGTTATGGTGGAGAGAGTATGGAGACCAAAGGTTACACAGTTATTGATAATGTCGGTAAGTTTTGGTGTGAGATATATGTTGAAACTACAGATACATTCTCATTCTACTTTCCCAAGAAATCAAGTTTGATCAGAAAGTTTATACCTTATCAGTAACACCTTCCTTTATTCATATCTTGTATTTTGATACCATCCGTGTTTCACATTATTCTTAATACGTAAAGAATCAAAGACGAGTATTCCAACTACTTATAGCCTAAATTTTGATATATTCATTGTACTTCTGACAATGATATTTGTAATAAAAGTAGAGATTTTCGGCCAATTGAATTAAAAGGTAACGGTCCTCTCAAATTATTAAGGCTTATTTTATTTTCATCCCATAAATTGATCAATTATTACATGTAGTTCTTTAATACATGTATATTGGACCTTTCACGAAATCGTAACTAGTCAAAAGACAGTCGTGATAATCTACTCTTTAACATTAAATGTGACAGTCTTGTTACAAAAGAGAAGGAAACACACACTTGAGCACACAATTAGACACATCTCTTTTATAGAAGAGTGGGTTTTTCAGTACTTTTTTTGCAAAGATGGACTTAGCCAAGGAATCAAAATACGTTCAGGAATTTAGACTAACTGTTGTAAAATAATTATTAAGAATTTAAAATTGAAAGAAAGTTTATTACTTAAATCGGCCTTACGTGTACATTTTTAGGCAACCCATAGGCAACCCATTCATATTTTGAGGGATGTTTAAATTTGCAGCTGCTGAATTCAAATCAACAAGACTTCTCTACACTTTATACTTTCATTCCCCTCACTGAATTAAAAAGTATGCTTTTGCTATCATAGACAACTGCTTCTTTAATAAAAATGTAAGTCGCATATTTTATAACCTTTGTGATTAGTACTCAACAAAATTACTTTGATTCTAAAGTACAAGTTCCACAATGGCAAGATTTATGTAGCCTTCGGAGACCAGATCTTCCAACAAACTTTTGAAATCCCCGATGGGCACTAATTGTGCTCCTTTATTACCTGACCTAATTTTTATATTATTATGATGCAGATTTGATTCTAAAACTGTTATGACCTTCAACTTAACATTTAGACGTATCGATGAAATATCTTTCTTTTATTTATATGCTGATTCGATATATAGAATTGAACTTGAAAAGGTTCTTCAACATGTATCTGCTTCATATTTGAATTTTTATTCACTATAGACAATAAAGGCGACTAATAACTAAACTATTTGGCAAACAAGATGATTTAAATTCAACTTTTCCATTGTTTTTATGAAAGAAGAAATTGTCTTTGATAATAAAAAGTCTTTAATTTTTAGTTAATTTTTAGTTATCGTGAGGAATATTTGTAAACGTTATTGTTAAAAGTTGTTTGCAAAGAATAATAACTTTTTCGTTTTGATGTTAAAGACTTTTTGAAATAACGTCTGCGAAATGTAATTCTAAAGTTTATCACTAAGAGCAGATATTTCCATAAGGAGTGAAAATAGGTGATTGCTTGACCAATCAATTTTTATTTTTGTTAGCATTTTTATGAAGTTTAGGAATCCAGTTATTGTAGGGTTCATGTATATCGAACGTTGACAGGAATATTATAAGTATGGTACACTGAAATGTGATTTTAAAGAATTTTCTCCTTGGAAAAAGAATTGCAACTTTGTGTAGGATTGTCAGATTTTGCCTCCAAAAGATTGTAATTTTTTGCCACGATACGTCGGTAGGATGGGACATCAAACGGTGCCCCGAGTCAAGGATTACATTCCCCTTGGCACGTAAAAGATTGTTTCTCTGGAGTACGAAAAAGAGTGGGCTCACTGGGGGCTGCCAGAGAAACCAAAAAAACTGTCAAAAACCGATGTTATAATCTATATAGTCCGCCGAAATATGGCTGAAAATTGCCGACTCGGCAATAACAATCAATCTTGCCAGGATCAGACCGTGAGGTTAAGACCTGCGCTCTTTCAAGTTTTATCCAATTTAAATGACAAAAGCGAATATAAGTCGAAAGTACTCGTACTTAAGTGCACATCATGAATGAACTAGTAAATCTGGACTTTGCTTTAATAAATTTTATAATACATGTATTTAAATTCAAGATGCAAATAACGCATAACAGCTATCCTTTTCTTCTGTATCACATACATACACAACTGAAAACAGATATACGGAATTTTAGAATAAGTAGATACAGGCAGAAAAGTCATAATATACCTCTACAATTTGCTATACACATGTATGTAAAGAAGAAAATTTTGTTGAATTTTTCTTGGAAAGAATGTGTTTCACTCTAGAGGCTTTTTATCGGTTTTTATCGGTATGTTTTCTGTTTACATCTCAGTATAATTGAAAAATTTCGAACGGAACGTAAAACGACAAACAATCAGTCATGAAAACGACCGTGCAGCGGCACTCTGTTCTAATAAATACAATATTTCGCCTAGTTTCAATGTGCTTGAGTTTCGAACCTAGGAGATGGCATCCTCAAAATAGATCATATTCATTACATACTAGTGCATGAAGTATAGATATAATATCATAGTATATGATACATGTATATCACGGTGAGCTTAAATAAAAGTTACCGCAGAGTCTGACACATCTGTTTCATATTTATATATTTTACCTTAAAAAGACGTAAATGGTAGTCAAACAATCAAGCTTTATGGCAAACGAGATGACCTTAACTTTTCAACTTACCTTACTTATGCAGCAATAAACCTTCATCACCTGCATACATCTATCTCAGTTGATTTTAAATGCAAGAGCATGCTCTGCGTATGAACATCTAACATGAGGTAAAGTATTGACAAAGTTTGCTAAAACCAGAATACCAGCAGTATAGTTTTAAAGTCATCATTTCGTTCTATGGTGGATATAATAACCATGTCAGCAAATTCAATTTATCATAAAGTCAAATGTTGAATGACGTTTTTCATACTAATTGTTAGGCCATTATATACTCACTGAATTGTCGACGGATTTTCCCGTTATTTCTCGATCATGATAAGGACAAACGGCATGTGTGACCGGTCGGCAGGGGATGCTCACTTCTTCATGGCACCTGATCCCAGCTCTGATGTTTTTTGTGGGATGGGGGTCCGAGTTTGCTCAGCTTCTATGTCGTATTGTTTATTAGACTTTTGAGCTTGAATACTGTTCGTTATCTCCAAATAATTCAATGAATAAATTTTACTTGGAAGTATTATGACGAATACAGCATATTCGCGTTCCCAATAGGCATTGAAGCAGATACTGACAGGAATAAATTGATGAGGAGGTGTACACATTAGTAGCGAATATTGACATATACTTTAATAAGCGCAGTGAAACTGTAAATTAAAGTTGACTGTCTAGGAAGGTTTTTAAAAGATTTTTTTTTTAATTTCAGATGTGTTATAAGTTTCAAACAAAGTTTATAAAAATCATGACCTTTGCATGAGATAATTTTTTTATATACAGGTTTATTATATTATTTTCGATTTCACTCCGTTTTAAATTCGCCCGTTTATTGTTTTGTTTTAAGATTATACTGAATTCTTGAAATTCGCCAAAATGAGGTTAGGACGAAAGGGGTGGGATAAAAACTGATCACAATCTGCATGTGGAAAATTTTATCTTCCAGTTGGTTCGCCACACAAAAATTAGATGTAAGTGCAAAAAAAGAAACTTGTAAACCGAGACATGCTATTGTCAAATAAGTTCGCGATACAAGGATATCCACAGCCCCATATAAATCAACATTTTACACTTGTGATGGTCGATACAGGAAACTTATTAGCAAATACAGTATATAGTTAAGTATAATGTTGACTGACATTTTTCAGAAAGTTGTTAAGCTGTTGTTTTTTTTAATTTAACACTGAATTGTCTACAAAGTAAAAGGTACGTTTTCAGCTTTAATGTGCCCTAAGAAATTTATGACTTCAAAAAGTTTTGCTAAAATATTAGTTGAGTTAATGACTGTGATAGAATGAGAAAGAATATGGCATGGAGAAGTACCATTCTGGAAATATGACGTCTTTAATTTGATGCATGTCTCTACTTTTAACAGTAAAAGCCACAAAATGACCAATTTCAAGGGTATTTTTCCTTTAATTTTTAATTTTTGGATATCTTGTGCAAAATTTAATGAAAAATCACATATCTCAAAATCTTTGTGGGCGATGCTTGTGAACAATATCAAATGAAAGGAAATTCTATGGAAAAGTTTCCTGCAACTTTTAAGAAAATGCGGGAAAATGCACAAGTTTATGACGTCACAATTAGCATTGAGAAGGTCATGAGAGAAAAATGATTTGTATGATCTTTATCCATGGAATTTTAAAAATTCAGAAAGCATGAGTTTTAATTTTTATCATCACTTTCATTTTAAAGAAAAACAGGGCAAGATTTGTATTGAAACCGTACTTTGTTCTTTCCTGTTTGCCAAGGGAAACACAGTGGATGTGACCAGTTGACAAGAGATGCTAACTCGTCCATGGTATTTGATCCAACGTATGATGGTTTAGAAGTCCGTGTTTGCTCTGCTCCAAATTTGTAAAATCCTAATGAATTTTTGGTCATGATAACTATTCGTTGTCTTTAAGTTTCTTTGTTATAATTTAAAAAAAAATATCCAGTTTTGTATTTCTCGTTGATAGTTGATGTTTTAGTATTTTGAAATGCCGCTATTATGATTTTATTTTAACTATTTTCCAAATCCACTGTAGGATGTATCAGAGAAGTGGAAAAATTCTGGAAACTTAGTGTTTGATTTCTTACTACACAGAGTTACAGTGTACCAAAGCGTTGAAGCAAGGGAAAAATCAAAAAACAGTTTATTCTTTCTTATTTACATCATTTTTATCAAAATAGCTTAGCTTAACCCATAGCAATTGTGATGACAGGATTTTATGTTACTTTATATGCCCTTCCTTGTTCCTCTCCATCTGGTTTAAATGATTAAATTTGAAATTGTGACGTAACAAGAGTGAGTTTCCTGTGAAACTTAAAACATATTTCCTGTGTTGGCTATACTAACTCT